CTCAAAACACTTGAGAAAGTTTTCATTAGCAAGAGATGTCGAATAAGTCCAACAAAATTGTAACAAAATTAGTACTCATTTATAACCGCCAAATATCATTTTTTTTATTTTCCTCTGTATTTCCAAAACCGCTAGACCTTACCAAAAAATTTCATCAATTCTTCATTTCGTCAATACAAGTAAAATGTTTTTTGAATTATTCAAATCGAGTACTCCGTTCTCTCAAAAACTGAAATTACCGTTTTTGATACTTTTTGCCCCGTATCTTTGAAACGGCTGGACCTGCCTTCACCAAAAATGATCAGCATGTCTTCTCATTAATAGGAATCGAATGTTTCTTGAATCATTCAAATCGGTTGATTCGTACGCCCGAAATCAGGGAAGAAAATTGTATCCAAACATACACACACACACATAATCCATTTCTAAGGTATGCCAAATATTCAGAAACCTTCAAAACGTAGAAATGTGCAAAAAAAAAATATTTTAGATTTTTTGCGATTAATATAACTTACAATACGGAAAGTTAATGCTACTTTACATATACATAAATTGCTGAAAATAATATTGGACTAAAAATGCTTAAAAAAATGTTCATTATACTAACTAAAACTATCGTATTCGTTAGATGATCATATAAATATAGTCAACAAAAGGAACTATTAAGTACTACAAAGTTGCCGCATTTTAATTTAACCATATTTCGTCATTTCTCTTCTTCTGGTAGTTGTTATTAAAAATATAGAATTCACGCAATAACAATATAGAATCAAACGACAATCGTGAAAACAAACTAACGTGCGACCAAAACAAATATAGCATACAACAAACAACAACTGTCTAACATAAAAAACTAACAAAGTCACAAATATTTTCGTTACAAAACAAAAAATGTGGCAGTTTATCTTCTAATATCGAGGTTGCCTAATTTAAGGCGGTGGCTGGTTTCCATCCTTTAAAATAGTATTGTTCAAAAATACCATACTTTACATTTTTTGAGATAATAGTGTTGACCTTTCACCTGACGACCTTTAAGCTCTACTCCTCTAAAATTCTAGTATTCGCCTACTTTATCTTCCAAACTTTCACAAAATATACTTTGTATATTCTCATCTACTCCTATTTTATTATTTCTCGAAATGTTTAAAATCCAACTTTGATTATCTACATCCAGCAAATGTTTTCAGTTTTGTTGAGACTTTTGAATATATTTGTGAATGTTGGTAATCTTTTCTTTGGCTCATAAGCAAACTTCTTCAAAAAAGAGTGCGCGTAAGGTTCACACGCGTTTGAAGTAAATCTTATTTGCTACTGTACAAGATGGCAAAGTAAAAATAAATACATCATAAATCAATTTTGAATAATGTTTATTAGTAATATGGTAACACTCGTGATGCGCATATTTATTAGTGTCAACCATTATACACATTCATATAATAATAAATTATAAATTATATATTTATAATAGCATTAAAAATATGTATAATATTCAAAATCAATAGTGTAATTAAAGTCATACTTTAAATATGACATGATCAGTTTGTCATTGTAATTGGCATTTAGAAATGAACCTTCATTAGAGAAATGAAGTAATTGCTGATTAATAAATTTTATAATATTTGTTCACACAGTGAATTATGTTAAATAACGCCTAAACAAATATTGTTTTCGCAACTTCACTCATCATGTAATTGTGTTTGAAGAACTTCATGTAATTAAAATTAACATACATTCATTGACTGCTTGTATTTTTTTCTACTTTTTCGCGATATAATCTCATCCTTTGAACAGCTGTAATAACTGTCTTGCCTAAAAAATATTTTCCATTTTAATAACTGCAAAGGTTTATAGAAACTACGAATAATATAGAAGTAATTTCTAAGGAACAGAGTAAAATATAAAAAAACAGGGTAAAATATTCTTCTGATTAAGGCATTTTTCATTGAACCAACATTTGTGCTACGATGTAACTTTAAAATGTTTATTTATCTATGCCGATTTCCTTATTGATATCGGTACGACTACAACGTTAACGCCGGTACGCATACATCATTGATGCCGGTATGCATACAACGATAGTTCTCCATTCACATACGCGATGATTAATCACAATCGATTAGTATAGAAATGATATTATCGAGAGCGAATCACTGGCACTCGACTCTTATCTTATCTTATCTGCCGTAACGCACTTCCGTTGCATTTGCACGGATTTACATCCTAGTCGCGCCTATAGTAGTTTTACTTAAAAAAATTGGCCCTCAACTACTTTCCTTCTTTCTTTCTTTCATTCTTGGACAAACTTTGTGCACCATCATCATTACCAGCATGTCTCACAGCCTTACATACTTGTCATAACACATTGCCAACCGTAATGTTCCTTATCATGACTGATATTTTTCCTTCGAGCAACCCACCTCAAAAATCTTTTATAAAAATAAGGAAATCGGCATTTTAAGGATTTTTCCTTTCTCCTTTCAAAAATTCTCTATTGTTATTCCCGTCAGTGTTATCTCACGATCCAAAACGCTTTAGGGTCTATCGATATCATTTAATGCTTTTCTTTTATAACGATTTTCACTGAATTCAGTTCTAACTCTTTAATAATTCTGTACATAAATGTAGTTTGAACTTATGAAATCATTATATAGTGTAATAGTGTAGTGTTATTGTGTCAACCAAACTATTTTGATCTTCTTGTTTCACTGAATGATGATCTGGGAGTAGATTGAAACGTGTAAGTGAATAAAGCTTTAATTCATAATTGCTTTAGTTCTTACTTGGTGCTACTGCTTGAATCGGCATAAATAAATTTAAGCCACATATGTCACACTGTATCAACATCAACGTGACTTATCTTAACCTCGTCACCAATAGTCAATATTTGAATTCAACAAAGATTTTCTACATTTTAGGACTCAATTGTACCCCGCCTGCCATAGACGATTTTCCCAAGGATCTATTCACAGAAAAGCAGAGACAGGGAGGCGCAGTCGCGCTACACGCGCTGGCCAGCCTTTACCTGTTTGTTGCACTTGCAGTAGTTTGCGATAAATATTTTGTTCCTGCCGTAGAAAAAATATGTCATGGTAAGTACACGCGCAGATGCAAACCTTTGAAATGACTGTTGCTATAATACGGAACAAGTTCATCATAAAAAATGTAATGATTAATAAAAAAAAATTACAAAAAATACAAACTTATATCAAATTTATTAAATTGGTTTAAAATAAATAAGTTGTAAGTTTCTTTTACTAGTTTAGCAAAAAATGCATTTTTATATATAACATTTGAAATGTTAGCGGTCTCAAAATATTACGCAGTTTAAAATAATCTACATTAGTTTAAAAATTCTTGTTTAGTTGGGCAAAAGTAGGGTGCGGCGGACAGACGTGAGCCACAGATTGAAGTGAGCCACCCGAATAACTGCAAGAGTAGTGAGATGTTTATCATATTTTGATACTTGCTCAATTTGTAAAAGTATTTGGAGGTTATAAACCCAACTCTCGCTCTGTACAGAGAAACGCGCTAATATAATATACATATAAAGACATATAATCTTTGAAATAAAAAGTGATTTTTGCCGATTATTTACATTGTGTTTTTGTAATGCACATGCAGAAAGGGCGTTTGTAGATAGAACGTGACCACTGTTCGTGGATAGACTTGGGCCACTTGTGTAATGCCGCTTTTTGCACCATAAAGTGATTTTATCAATTATTCAAATGTAACTTATTTTTATCTCTTCAGTCAAGAGGTGAATTATGAAAGATTGATTACTGTTATGAAGGAAGTGAAAATAAATAATATATCGAAGCGTGTTGCTTCTGCTGTACCAACGTTGGCAAATTGTCTTTTAAACGCATCATTACATACTCTAAAAACATACACGTCTCGGCTTCACAATCAGCTGTGAAAAGGCAAAAAATGAAATTCGTCAATTTCTTCAGACGAAGACATCGATTTTTGCATCATTTGCAATAAAATGATGCCGGCAAATCTGACAAAAAAAACTTCATCGTGTGCGATAACTGCGACAGATCCTTCCACTTGAAGTGCGTCGATATGACCAACTGCACCGACTTGACGTGCACCAATTGCACCTAGAATCTGTGCTTTAATATTGTAAATATTTTTTTCAACAATTTTATCATTCCAGCTTAATGACTTCTTTTTTTCGGACATTAAAATAACATTATTACTGAAGTCACTATTTTTCCAATTTCTACCCTTTATTTCGTGTCAACGATTTTAAATTTTGTAAATTTGACAACAGATTTGTAATCAGCGCCTTTGAAAACCCTTCAGGGTAAGAACTTGTAGCATATAGCAACATTTTTTCAAATAAAACTTAGGGTGGCTCACTTCTCCCTACATTTACGTAAAACATTAAATACACTTTTTTGGCAATCAAAAAGAGAAATACTTCCGAACATAATTGTAAGCATCCGCTATGATAAAAAGTTGCATTTTGGATTACCCTTGCAACGAAAAAAAATGAAGAAAATATTTTCATTTTTAAGAATTATACAATCAAAAATAAAAACGTGGCCCACTTCTGTCCACCGCACCCTACTTGTTCAATTTTATTTTTATCTGAAGATCGATCTGAGATCCAATCTGAAGTCGCCTCCAATTATCGTCTGTGTTTAAATAAGATTTTTTTTGATCAAAAATCAATTTTGTTAGTGCTGCAGAAGTTTTGATACTCAATCAGCAGCTTAAAAGATGTATTAAATCCTGAAATAGCATAGCCTAAATGTATGGTAGAACCCCGTTAAAATATGCTTAATATAATTTCAAGGTATAATACGCTACTTTACGCTGGTCCTTGCACTTTAAAATATATCGTCTCTATATAAAACTATTTCTCGCATAGTACGCTTTTCTAATCCAGTCCCTCTAAAACTGTCTTAACAGGGTTTTATTGTATATTATGATTGGAAATAATAAAGATATCGACGACAGAAAACATAACCCAGTCTTTTAAATCTTTTTAGCTCTGAATATGTCAAACGATGTCGCTGGTGCGACGTTCATGGCAGCGGCGACGTCAGCACCAGAACTCTTCGTGAACGTGATAGGGACGTTCATCACGGAGGGAGATTTGGGCGTAGGAACAATCGTAGGATCGGCGGTTTTCAATATACTGGCAGTGGCAGCTTGTTGCGGAATTGGCGCCGGTATGGTACGTGTTTGGAATTGTTGAAATCTAAAAAAAATCAAACGTAAAAATATTTAATCGAATTTAAGGAAGAATATTTTGTAATAACTGACAGTAAAAGTGAATCTTTGCCAGATCTGGGGTGAATCCTGGAGCAATATTTGAATCTTGGGCCCATATTACCAATATTGCCAATATTGCACAAATATTGGCAGGAGCTCGTTTCTAGATGAGCCAGACAATATTTATTTTAAAAATATTGAAAATTGTCGGTAATACGCAGAAAGACAAACATTCAGTTTTAAATATAAGAAAACATACATGTTTTTAATCTGATTTACACTTACAAATTTATATTTAATGAATTATACATAATTTGTGGGAATAGGCATACTCGGGCGTTTGATAAACCGTCCAAATTAATTTCTTATTAACAAGCATTAATATTTTAATTTATTTTGTATATAATATATAATACATAGATAAGTTGTTAGAACTACTGATCTTGTATCAGAAGTCTCGGGTTTTACACCCGTTTCTAGCTGCCTGATGTCAAGCCGTACCTAGTAACATCGGTATTCACTAGCCCTTACTATTCTAAGAGCAAAAATTCATCACTATTATATACAGAGAGAGATATTTTGATGATAATATTGAAAAGAGATGAGACAACTACTTGGGTCGTCACCTATAAAAAACCGTTATGATTTACAAAGAATTCATTACAACAGCTCACGGAACCCTCACGTCCTGATCGCTGTTCAAACAAATAAATAACTAGGTGGTATTGGTATTTCCCTTTGAGAAAAGTTACATGAACTTCCCGACATGTGTAAATAATCGACATAATCAATAAAAAAAATAATTTATGAGTGATTAAAACTATTCTGAGTGGATTTATTACACATAATTGTAAACGATCGAACATGTTAATTCGGAGTATTTTCTAAAAGCTTATTTTCAAAAATCAATATTTTTTTATAATTGAATCAGTTTCCGTAGGTCATTAATGGTTTAGTATGTTCATGAAGACCAAGAACTATATCATTATACCAAGTAAATCGTATGATTTGAATTTTAACAAACGTTAAAAAAACTACTCATTTTCACAAACTTTGATGAATTTTTAAAATTAAACTACTTGTCGTGAGACCGTAATATTTCAGTAAGTTTTATAAGACTATCGTCAAAAAAAGTTTTAAAAAAATCGGCCTAATTCTTTTTTCAACAGGTAATTACAAGAAAAAGGCTCGGTAGATTTTCACCTAAAACTAATCAGTCCATTCCCAACTAATATCTTTCGAACACTTTTTGAGTTTTTAACGTCGATTTACGGTAAAAAATCTGTTCAAATTAGTGTAGCGAATTTTTTGATGAAAACATAAACTTCTCCTTCGTAGTAATAAGTAAGTAATTAAGTGATTTAAAATTAAGTAAATTGCGGTATTACCTTCTTTATTATATCAACTTAATTATTGTGATTTAACAAAACAACTTGAATATAGTGATTTTCTTCTAATTTATTGAAAAACTAACAGATATGACAAGTTCGTACCAATTTTAGTGTTTTATTAAAAGTTAATGATTGCGCATATAAATTATGAAATGTCTTAATAAAGTATAATTTTAAATATTCCGAATATTGATGATGTTATAATTGATTTCCGTTTCGAATTTAAATTTATACTATTAATAGAGTCATAGATATCTATATTTAGACAATTTAGCTAAAATCAAATTCAAAATACTCTGATACAATTATAGTAATTTGCAAAACAGCTAATATAGTAATTGATATCAATTTCCGCACCATCTTCTCGAATATGTAGGCGTGGAAAGATTGATCGATATTTCTATATATTAATTATTTTATTACTGCTCGAAATAATCATACAAGGTAAAAATGGTTCCAAAATACAAATGCATATTTCTAACTAATGCTCTAATTTGGTATGTCAATTTTTCAAAGAATGATTAAAAAAAGATCAAAAGTAATGTGACTTTTTTTTATTTCCAGGTCGTCCCATTGGATTGGTGGCCCTTGACTCGCGACTGCTTGGCGTACGGAATAACAGTATCAATACTGATCTGCATAATTCATGATGAACGTGTGGAATGGTACGAAGCACTAACTCTGGTGCTTCTTTATATAGTGTACATTGCAGTAATGTACTATGACAAGTCATTCCAGAGATGTGCCAGAGGTGACAATGAATTCTATTTGCGCCTACTTTTGCTTAGCGCTACTGTTACTTAGTTATAAGTAAATTTAAGTAAATTTAATATTGAAACTGATCCAAATTCTAACTGCGAATTGACGATTCAAGATAACGAAGAAAAACCCATTTGATTAGATTTTGATAGTAGATAAGTTATGCATAACATATGAAAAAGATAATAATTTTAGAAGCAATCTTAGCTTGTTATCTGCACACACTTTTTTGCATGCATATTTAAGTGCAAACATTGCAAATCGTAAAAGTAGTCGTAGTTACAGTGGCAAACTAGCAAACACTTTTATAGATATTCATCAAAACAACTATATCCTTATTTATTTTCTTTTATCTCTTACAGTATCGTGTTTGAAAATTCTCTGAATACATTTTGTCGAATTTATATCTATGTCTACATCTATCGCTTTCCGGAAATATTGATATGTAATTAAATTCACTTTGTCGATATTTGACAATTCAATTTATCTTCTTATTGTTGACGACTTAAGATAGAGTTCAGTTTTGTTGAAGTTAGTTTTTTTTTCATGACCAGACATTTAGAAAGCAAGTAGCTTAAAAATGTATAACCTTCAGGTAATAAGCAAATTAATTAATACCTACGACTTTAATAGGTACTACTGCATATTCACTAGTTTATGAACAAAATCGTCATAGGGTTGTAACAGGTCTTTTTTTAAATAATATCTTTAGATAATGATTAATATGAAAAAAGTGCGATGCTACTACTCATGCATCCCGCATTCGGAATAAGAACTTCTATTCGGTCAAATAAAAGAACTACAATAACACTTCTAATCAGTTATTTTTTGTTGTTTTTGTAACAATTGACATCGTTCTTAAGTGAGTGATATACCTGTTTTATGTAACACATTATACACGTGCTCATGTCTTGCAAATGATACTTCCTACCCATCTGTGTAAAGTTCACCACATGCCAGACAATATCACTCGTTAGATCCAGTTTTGTTATCTGAATATAAAATATCTTCTAGTTCTGTTCATTTGGATTTTAAATTTTATATTTTATATTTGTTGATTTATCTTTGGATTGCCCTTCGTCTTTCTTTTCTCCTTTTCTTCACTTTTATTGTCTTTTTAATGTCATTTTCCTTCTTTTTCTAATATTCCTTTTGTAAACCTTTTTTTTTTCAAATGTATCCATTAATACTGCAGATTTTCCTTGCGTCTCATATTTGTATTCATTTTTCTTGGATTGTTTTTGCTCACTTGAATTGCCTTCCTTAGCTAAACTTTTTTTGTAGATTGAAGCAACTCGAAGTTGGTTTGCTCACTATTTCAATTTGATTTATAATTTCCGCGGTGCAGAAGAAAACAATTACCTGCATCATAACTGTTACAACTAATTCCATGTGCAATTCTAGAGCAATCAAGATTAGATAGAGATAGAGACTATTTAAACAATTTAACAATCACAATGACATTATCCAAGATAAGTTTGAAATGAAATAAGATTTGTAAAATTTAAAATTAGTCGATAGTAATAACGCAAACCGAAATTTTATGACAATAAAATTTTATATGACCAGTCAAAAATTATGGAATTATGGAATTAAAAAGCCCTATTATGCAAGACGGTTCTTCTTTCATCCAATCTTTCTTGCTATCTCAGCACGTAAATCATACAAAAATTGGTGTAAAATAAGTTGATACAAAATTGTCATTCTCAAATTTCGCTTGAAAATGCCTAGAGAAATGCTGACATTTTATAGCATTCGTCACATCTGTGAAATAACAGTAATTTTCATCTAGGATTATTTTTGTAGAATGTAGATGTAGTATAATTATAAATAGTTCAGCACATAATAGCACTTGGTTTTTATCACTCTTGTCTCAGGTAGTCTTCGGCACGCACAACGCAGAAAGTCAAGATTTACTTCCATCGCTAGGTCAAACTCTAGCAAAGATGTGGGTAAGGTTCGCGTCAATATTTTATTTACTAATTATAATAAGCTTTATTTTTATTATTCATCATAGTTTTAGATAAAACTTAATTATTGAAAATGCACTGTTTCGAAATATCTTTTTATTAATAGATGTTACAATTCTCAAACAGAAGTCTGAATTGAAATATATGAACGTGTCTGAATATAGCACATAAATAATAAATAATTCTTTATTCTGAAACATTGATATCAAATACTAATAATATCTCCAGTTACTCACATAAATACAACTTTTAGAAGCCTTGGAAGCACATCTGCCTATAAATACGGATAGCAATACACGTCAACATCAGCAACAAAATGGAAATTTGAAAAATTCAAATCAGAATAATGCGCCGGCAGAAATGGATGTGGAAGATACTCAACAACAAAGTAAAAAACCCGCCGAAGATGAATATAAGCATTCTTTAATTCGTTACCCGAAGAACCAAGGGTGGTTTACACAGGTATATTGATTCATTCATAATTCATTCATAATTCGAGAATTAGCAAAGTTAACTGAAATAAATTACTCGACAAATATTCTAAATTTTCAACTGCAATTCGAAGAAAAATATTTGTACACAAGTTTGTTATTGCTAACAAAGAAAAAGATTTAACGAAGTAAAAATCTTGATTTTTGAGAGCTAACAATTAATTTTATGATAAGAGATTTGTATTTGTCTCTATTTTTTTTCAATTTATTGCATAACTAAATAAGATCGCTTTTCATAATTATTTTGCACTTATGCAAATTATCAATAACGTTCGATATTTTGCTGTTACAATAAATTATACTCATATATTTGCGCGTTTGCCATGTTAATAAGAGAATTTAAATTGAAAATATTTCTTGGGTGATTAAGAAATCTAAAAATCTTAGAAATTAGATGCTATTGGCCTAATAAAATCATTCAGAAACTCTTTGTATACTGTAAAGAATTTCTTCTACCTTTTCATCAACGAAGGATTAGAAAAAAATAATTAATTAAAATCTAGAATAAACAATTTCATAAAATTGCATGAAAATTGATCTCATAGTTGTAATTAGGGAATGCAATGTATACCGGTATACCGAATTACCGGTATTTTCGGTATTTTTACATAAGCGCTATTTGATACAAAATACAATAAAGTTTAAATTTCTCGGAACAAAGTTATCTTTAAATTCCATAATCGCATAAACAGCTATATCTTCAAGTGATTCTATAGGATAAACAAATGTCAAATATTATCTCAACTCGTCATTATACTGAATATTTATTGCTTTACTAAGGGCTGCATATCGTGTTACAATGAATAGAATTGGACTGATAGATGATGATGTTTGTTTCATCTTATGTAAAAATGTAAAACGTGATATTTGCGCCAAAATATTTTATATCATACAGATTACCCCTGCGTGATCTTTATTTTTTTCTAACTTTAATAATTATGATAATTACTAAATATTTTTGCTTCTTATTACAATTATAAAATATTATTTTTCGAAAACGTTTCGAAGTTTGAAAATACTATAGAAGCATCACATTGTTTTAAATAACAATATTCAACAGTTAACGTAACTTATTATTTATATCGACAAAGTATCCGATCTTAAATTAGTGTAAAAAAATTATTTTTTTAAAATATTCGAGATTATGCTAATTTAACACATCGGATACAGACAATACAGTTTATTATAATAATGCAATATGATCTTTTATGAGCTTTTGGTCTTTCTTACTCATAAGTTTGTTTTTGGTGAAAAGTACTCATTATACTAGATAGTGATAATGAATTAATTAAATTGGATATAATTTTGTGAAATTATTATTTAAAAAAATAAACTTATTGTTTTATTTTATTGTTTTTATTATTTAGTTGAATATAGTTGTAGTTGTATATACATTTTTTTTGTACTAGTAACTTTCAATTTTGTTTACGTTTGCTTAAGATAATAAAAATACCGGTAATTTACCGGTATTCCGGTTTTAAAATAAAAAATTACCGGTACTGAAATTTTCCATCAGTATTGCATTCCCTAGTTATAATCACTTAATTCAAAATCCGTGTACCTGGTAAAGTCTTCAGATAGTTCACAATTCTTCAATATTTTTTTCAAAAATGTTCAATAAGTGTGAGTCAAGTTTCCCAACCTGATCAGTTTATAAACTATATATGAATAGTACTTGCTCAGTTTTTTGATTATAAGAATACGATGAACAAAGGTAGTCTAGAGTTTCACGTGTCCTAGGTAGCATGGGTGGTGACGTGGCCAATTCATCTGGTTTTCCTATTTACAATACCAGACTGTGAACGAAAGGGTCTTCGTTCCTGGTTTCCTCTGACCTTCATCATGTGCATCATTTGGATTGGATCTTTGTCGTATGTCGTCGCCTGGATGATTACTATAATTGGTGAGTTACTGAAAGTTGAATTACTTCTCTTAGAAATTCCAAGAAAACAATATCTAATAATATTCTACCATTTTTCGGATAACGATCAAGTACTACTTTTATCTTTGAATTCCACTACAGAATTCAAAAACACACTTTTTTATATGTCGATAGAAAACTATGTTTTTGTTTCAATAACTGTTTTCGTCATTCTGAATGTTGCAGCTAATAGTTTATGTGAATAAAAATTTTACCTTCATCGATTATTACTGGCCATTGTCGCATTACTATAAATTAAACTCAGTTCCGAGTTCATTGGATTCTGGTTTGACAAATAAAAGCTAAATTTTCAAAATGTATTGGAAATATAAAAATATTCGATAGCCTAATATAATACATTCTTGATCCAGGTGACACATTAAAAATACCAGATTCAGTGATGGGCATAACTTTCTTAGCCGCAGGAACCAGTGTACCTGAAGCAGTATCAAGTGTAATTGTAGCAAAACAAGGTTTCGATGAACATCTAGTAATCTTAACTTTGATATAATTTTATATACTCATTATTCTTATTTATTATTCTCAGGTCACGGATCCATGGGCATCTCAAATTCAATAGGTTCCAATACTTTCGACATTTTGTTATGTTTAGGCCTGCCATGGCTTATTAAAGCAGCTTTACTACCTACAGAACCTGGTCAACATTGGGTATATATGTGTTATTTTAAAAAACAATAAATTGCCTGTACAAAGTCAATATGGTTGGATGAGGTTGTGGATAATCATATGCTTATGAACATATTCAGTAGCACATAAATACATAATTCAATAGCAATAGTATAATTAATTGAAAAATGTTTGAAATTAGATCTCCTTATCGTATGTAGTATTGTCTTATGTCGTAGTCTTCTAGATGCCTAGAATGTTGACCATGCCATTATCAGTGATATTTTAGTCTTCGATTAAGTGAAATATATAAATATATAAAATAGTGGGCATTCTTATAAGAAATTGCTAATCAATTATTTGAACTGTTGTCAATTATTCCGATCGTCAATGATTAATCTGATTGGGTTGAATTATATTAAGTTAATATAAAATTCAATTCCAAAGCTTATGATTACTACGTTATATTTGAGAGCTTTTATTAGGAAGATCATTCCAATCATTTCCATTACAACAAGTTCATAGATAATATGTTTGTGAATTCTTTAATACATAGAGTAATTTCTTTTTTTGACTTCAGTATTATGGGTCATTATTATACATTTTTATATGAATTTCACAGGTGGGAATCAACTCGGCTGGTTTAGAGTATTCTGCGATATCGTTACTGTCTACGCTGTTGATGTTGTACATCGCTTTCTCAATTAACAAATTCAAGCTGGATATGCGTGTAGGCAGAGCCTGCTTATTAATGTATGCCGTCTTCCTGGTGCTGGCTAGTCTTATCGAACTAAATGCATTCTTCAGAGTCAACTTACCAACATGCGGCAGGTAACCAAACTATATATTATCACCATATCCAAAATATTGAGCAGGCTTGTGAAAGAATACATTTTGTTAATAACTTCATTCAAGATTATGTTACGCTTTGAATTATCAAAATTCCAAATTGCTAAAATTGCTTAAAATACAATTATAAGAGATATCTCAAAAGTTCTCATCGTTCCGGTGCGAGCTAGAAAAAAAATTGGCACAAGGTCAAAGGTCAAAAAATGACCTTTTCCCGATTTTCAGCTAAATGATCAGTTTTATCGCAAAATTGCCCGAGACAAAATTGTAGAGCATAAAATTAGGGGGTCCTGTTACACCGGACGGCACCTAGCGCCGGACACTCTATTTAAAACGTGTTATTCAAACGAGTATGAATCTTTTTATTACATTTTTCGTATTTCCTAATCAAAGAATAAAAATCTTATGACAAATGCTTCAGGTAAGAGCAACGGTGTGGTCCAGCCAAAAGGGTGTATAAATAGAGACTTTCTTTTGCAATATCTAAGAATATTCGTCAAACACACATGTGCAGACATTACAGAGTGTGAAGATGACTATACATGTGTTCATTGCAGGTTATTTTGAAATGTCCGGTACTGGGTGCCACTTTTTTGTTGTTTTCCCAGTAGGCCCATTTCACGGTTCTGTTGTGATTTTATTCGTTTAGTTGGTAAAAATAAAGTCGGTAATTATAAAAAAGCAGCAAAATTTATTCGTCGAAATCATAATTTTCAAATGTTTCTACTTCTTCTTCTTCTCGTTCTTCTTGGTCTTCTTCTTCTTCTCTTTCTATTTCTTTTACTTCTTTTTCTTCACTTTGAGTATAGGCAAACTGTCCCAATAGCATTCCAAAAGAATTGATTGAAATAGGCATAAAGATATAAATTATTTTAAGTTTTATAAATTAATATAACTTTATTAATAATTAACAGTAACATTTATTGTTTTGCATTTAACAGAGAAGGAAACTGACGCAATGAAGACACGCAACAAAAGGATTAGGTGCAGCTATCCTTCATTTACAACCAAATGGACAATAAGATAATAATAGTGGATAAATATTTTTTTAAAAAAATTACGTATATAGAGAATCACGTGTGCGTTTGTGTGTTTGTGATTTGTGTAAAACATTTTATATGATAGTTATAATATTAGTATGATTAAAAATGTTTCATTAATTAGTGAAGATATGTAAATTCACAAAACCAATCCAACGTTATTTTATTTTCTTAACTGTTGTGTAAAAAGAAGTATACGGTGTTTTGTCTATATCAAATCATTTTTGATGTGTATTAATTGATTGCCTTGTATTAAATAAACTTAACTTAAACATTTTTAAAAATTCTAGATGATTTTAAATGTATTGTATATGTATTATATTTGTTATTATGTACACATAAAATAAATTGTTAGACATTTATACAATCAACAACTCAGTGTTTATACTAAATGATTTTTGTCAGACAGGTTCAAACCTTTGCTTTATGAAAGATCACAATTGAAAAATGAACTATTTTTTTAGTTAGATATTTTCAAATATTATCTACTTTGTACATAAATTACTTAATATATTTGAATACTAAAGTTGCAAAAATGTCTAAATGCCGACATCAAGTAACAGTGTCCGATGATAATAATAATGTGCGACTATGTCAACGAAGAGCAACCGACTGAGAAATTTTTTCGGTAGTTACCATTTACAAGTATATAAGCTTGCTAGAAATAATTCACATAGGAAGAGCGGGCTTTGAAAACACAGGGATGAACATATACGAGTCGTATAACCAGCCTTGATTTCTACGACTATCGGGAGATAAGAAGCAATGTTTTAACATCCATAACAAAAGTATTTTATTTCGTTCGTATTTCGTAGTAATTTTGGTTGTGAGCACTGTTGTATAATTTACGAGACCTTAATATAACTGCTAAATGTATTTTATTTAATTATTTTATAGGATGCAAAGTCAGATTCAACAGTTTTTTTCATAAAACCCATATAAAAGCTTGCATGTGGGTGGAGTAAATAGGACCAACTAGACCTTTACCCTCGCAAGAATGTGAACAAGCAAAAATATTGAATAAAAATGTAAATTAAGGGACCGATTCTGCCGCAATGTTATGATAAGGTCATGTTATGAAGAATTTTCCATAGTAATATAGACAAAAGTTATGCGGTTGGTGTTCAGTCAGGCGAATTTCTCAGGTTTTCTCATACAAAACATAACCTAAAAGCCGCACAAATGTCAAAAAAACGATGTTAGATAAGTGTGTGTTTCTCATTCCTCTTAGGTAACATACGAGTGACGTTGCAGTTTATGTTTAAAACGCCGGAATGAACAGCAAATACATGATATTTTGACAGCATTCAGTATGATTCATTCGCATAATGTATGGGGAGTCGGAGCGTAACATAGCCATGCCGTAACATTTCTCTGTTATGCGCAGAATCGGTCCAGAAGTTAAAAAACGTCAAAGTTTTTTTTTAACTCAGTTTTATTTAGCAATCAGAAATACATAAAGATTCCTATGAGCTAAAATGACAATATTTAAGAGCGATGCCTAAGAAGAACTCCAATGAGAACTTCTCAGTTTTACAATTAATATGATATTATATAATATTTATTATATAATATAATTAATATTAGACCTAATCTAAGACTAAGTCTAAAGGCCATTGTCGTTTCAATCTCCTAATGCCAAAAGGTTGAGTAATGTCAACTATAGAAGGGTTCAAATGTGAGTCCAGTTTGCGCTTATATTTTTTCCTTAACTTCTTTAAACGTTAATTGCACCGTTTTCATGTTGAGGTCGCTGTGAATGGTTTCATTTGTCACGTACCACGGAGAATTAAGTACTGTACGTAAAATTTTTGACTGAGTTCTCTGCATTATAGCTATAATTGATTTGTAGTTTGCTCGTCAGTAGAGTTTTTTTGAGACATTTCTTATTCACATTTTGCTCGTCAGCAGAGTCCACTTCACAAAACATTTTTCATTAATATTTTTTCTTATCAGTACAAAACCTTTTAGTATCTAAATTAAATTGGCTTACTACAACCAGTAGAGTCCTCTTTCTTCTTCTAAGTTAAAATTAAAGTTTGCTTGTCAGTAGTTCTTTGATTTTTTTGTCAACTTTTAGTTTGCCTGTCTGTAGAGTCGTTTTTATATTTGCAAGTTTCAAATTTGATCGTCAGTAGAGTCCCTTTTGTATTTTCTTATCAATCAAAACTTTATTGGCTTGTTAGTAGAATCCCTTTTTAACTTTAAGATAAAATTTATGATCATATTTTAACTATTTTATTTTTTATTTGCTCGTCAGTAAAATCCTTTTCAATCTTTTAGATCAAAACTAAAGTTTCCTCGTCAGTAAAGACCTTTTTTATATGTTTCCTTTCTATATATTTTATATCTATTTTGACATTTTGACCCACTGTACTGTATATAGTACGAAGCAACTTCGAATCGACATCGACTCGACCCCTAAACTCTTGTAACTTTCAAACCGTTCGTTTAGTATGAATGATGTATTAGACAAATTTGTTTAAAAATAAATACTTTATAATACTGTCTAATAAAACAAGTAACTGTAGTACAAAATATCTAAGAAACTCGATAAATTAATTGTAAATATAAGGTTAATGTTTAATGTACGGGGAACCTTATTGGTTTTTAGAGTCTATAACTTTGATATTCGTAAAGGCTCGTCGAGACCTTTCATTTGATACCCCTCATGCATTTTTACTATTTTGGACATTTTGACCCACTGTACTGTACATAGTATGAAAAAGCTTGGATTGGACATTGACTCGACTCGTTTGTGTTTTCATTTGGTAAATCACTTGTTACTTTTAAACCGTTCGATTAATATGAATGATGTTTTCGGCAAATCCAGACAAAATTGAATAATGAATAATATTGTCTAATACAAAAAGACTTTACAGTAACTCTGTAAGCTTGAAAAAATCAATTGAAAAAACTGAAACGATAATCCTGTACTAAAAATGTACAAAAACGGCAATTTTTGAGAGAACAAAGCATCCGATTTGAATGATTCAAAAACAATTTGCTTTTTGGGGAAGACATTTTTTTATTTCAAAATTACATTTATTCTTTAATTTAAAAAAAATTGAATATCAAAAATTATTAGAATATTAATTTTAATTTTAGATAAATAAATTATAAAAATATAATTTTTAGTAAAATTCAAAAAATCACCCAAGCTAAGCACAGTCTAAGTGACAACCTGGTACAAATACATTTGAAAGTAAGTAGACTGTGACTGTACGGGAGCACTTTTTCAATTTTGGTGAATTATATGTAACTATTTTTTTTAATTGGAATTGTAACTTGCCTTAAGGCTAAATGCCTTTCATAACTAATATTGTTATTAAAAATTATGTTTCTATATCTATGACCATGATTATATATAATTATAGTGACAATACAAGTTTAATACATATTTAGTAACAAACTTGTTACGATTGTAATAAAATGCATGTCACGATTTTTGCAAATTTTGCACGAAAATACAGTTGTTACAGTACAGTTGTTTTATATGTAGAGCAACTGTATTTTCAGGAGCTAATTTTTATTTGGAAAATTAGAAAAAGTACAAATTAATCATCAAGTGCTTTTTATATTTTTTGATGTTTTGTTTTATTCAAAATTATGAAAGTTGGGTGAGTATTAAATAGCTAAAAGTCATTATTGTATTTTGCTTGTCAGTAGAGTTAAAATAAAAATTAGTGGTGTATGGCATCGTGCCTTAAGGCAAATTGCTGGAACTTCTCGTACCGTAATGAAATATTCGAGAAATTTTAAACGTTTTCAAATATATTATTACAAATACTGTAACTTTCATTATTTTTGCTATCTTGTTAAATCTGAAGCAAATCAAATGTAAATCATAAATAAATTAATTCATCTCCAGAATATTTTGAACAATCGTCATTTCATTTCGAATTCAATTTCAAAAATATAGTTGCCTAATTTACACAAATTTGAAAAATTGCGCATAGTCAAAGTCTAAACGCATTTGCAAATAATTCTGTGCGACATTTTCACTTATGCTGTACTTAGCTTGGCGGCGTTTTCACATTTTTCAATAGTTTTCACAAAATTGGAAAAGTGCTCCAGTACATAAACAGTCTAAACGCACATGGGTAAACATAAACACTAACAAAATTTGATCAGAGTGGCGGTTAGACTGTGCTTAGCCTGGGTAATTTTTTGAATTTTTAATCCAAAATTACAAAAATATTTTATGGAAAATAAAAAAAAGATTGAGAATTTTTCATCCTCAAAAGCAATTGTTTTGTCAATACAAGCAAAAAGTTTTTTAGATCATTCAAATCGGACACTTAGTACACTCAAAAACTGCCCTTTTTTGCATATTTAGCTCTGTATCTTCGAAATGGCGGGACCTGTCTTTGCCAAAAACTAATTACCTCTTCTCCCAATCATTACAAATTGAACGTTTTTTAGATCATTCAAATCCGATACTCCGTTCTCCCAAAAACTCAATTTGTATTTTCTGCATCATTGCCAAAAACTAATCAGCTCATCTTCTTATGAATGGGGATCGAAACCATTCAAATCGGTTGATACATGCGCCCGAAAACGTGGACGAAAAAATGCGGACATACAAAACACACACACACACACATCTATTTTTTCTGAGGTATGCTAGTAAAATGTTCAGAAACCTTCAAAACGTCGAGAAATGCAAAAGTTTTCATTTTCGATTTTCGGCCCATTACTATAACTACACTATGGGAAGTTAAAAAGTATGAAAAAGTGTCTTTAGTATTTTCATCAATCAACAAGTTATAAATAAAGTTTATTTATGTAACTTAATGTTTCATTAATGTAACTTTTTTCGACAATGATATTGAAATTTTGCCCAATGACACAAACAAAAAATGATATAGTTATAAAAAATTGGCCATTTTAAATTCAAGTTTTTTTTTTATTTCAGTCAAACTACCGAATTTTTATGCGTTCTCTGAAATTGGAATTTGTAAA